AGTTCGACTATTATTTATATTATTAATTTAATATCTTGCTCTCCATATGCACAGAACTTGTTGCTCACTTTGTTTATTTTAGACTTCGTTTGACTATGATTCTCAATGGTTCTGGTCCTGTGTTGTTTTAGTTTATTTCAATTTGTTTTTTCCTTTTTTTTTTTGTTTAATTAGATATGGCTGCAACTAATAATTCTGGGGGAACAGCTCGTTATTCTTCTATGAATGAGCTACAAAAAAAAAATGTCACTTTGGTCACTTTGTATTTGGTTGAATTGCTATGCACTTTAAATAATTGAATAGTTATTTACATTTATATAAAAAAATTCACATATCCCCATACCCGTATCCTAAAATTTTTAAAATTTGCCGTATCGCCATATCGTATCCGATACTCATACCCGTATTTGTGCAACCTAGGATACGAGGGCCCAAACCCAAGAGAAAAAAACGAGGCTAGTGATGAACAGCCACCTACTCTTCTAGTAGTAGGAAGCTGTAATTGAACATCCATAAACACAGGTTTTGGACTCCCAACATCCTCAAATATTTTATAAGATTGAGTTTCTAGCTTTGTTTAGAGGCTCTGCACATGGTTGTTTCAAGGGAGTTTCTATTTCTGACACACAGATATTGAACAGCTTTGTTTCAGTTTAAAACCTCCATGGCTACCTTCTTTCCACCCAAAAAAATCTTCATTTGTCCAAATAAAAAGAACAAGCACAAATTGAGTTTCATACTGGATGACATATAGGTAGGGGAAAGGGAAACCTACTCTATTCCAGAGGGAAACGCACATTGAAGAACCTTCATTGCAATTGGCTTGAAAGGTAGAAGTGCTAGTTCAGGATTCAGAACATCCTGCAAACAATAAAAATTCAACATTAGGCACCTTTGTCCAGGTTGCATCACAGAAAATCTACGCGTTCAAGGTGCATAAATATATCAAATTTTATTCATAGAGGAAAAAGAAAGACTGCAAACAAACTTCACAAAAGGCAATAAAATTATGTAATGTGCAATGTAACGCAATAGTACCTCAAGGATAAGTAAAGATTTTGGATCCCCACTCCAACATCGAAGCAAATGAACAACAGGACCAAGGCGCAGACTCCAATGAGGAGAAAATACAATACACGGTTCCTGCCAATTCATTCTAATTACAAACCATCAGTTTCTTTCAAGCCCTTTTCGTGAACTTTGAAATTACTGACAATAACTCAGAATGTGTTCTTTTCCCAGAAGATGTTGAAAATAAAAAAACCAGCATGGTTTTTGGGCCTAGGAAGGACAAAATCACTACAGATTGATGAGTAGTTGACCCCAAAAACAGAGGAAGGGGCAAGGAAAAACTTACAGGAGTTTATGTGAATAAATAGCTGGAACCACATGAAGCCTCTTCTGTTTTATCAGATCAGCATGCAAAAACAATGGTTCCCCAGCAAACAGCTGCATCACCAAGTCATTTAAACATCAAATTCTGTGAGTAACTACAAACAAATATGTTTTAAAAAACTGTATACAAGTGAAACGTTTACAAATTCGTGTCTTATCTTACCCTTTCTTGTCGTTGTTTGCAGAGCCATTCTGGTATGATATTAAGGACTGCAAGTAATTCCTCCGCCACAGAAGAAATTATATAAATTGGAACCTGCAAACAAATAAATTAGTAACTTAACAAGCGTGGTTTTAAGAGTGGATGTGTACATGCCTATGTTACATTGAAATTTAATTTAATTATGAGGAATAGTGATGACAGGGCCAGACTCTTGACCACTTGATAAAAAAACTTTGACATCATGACAAGGACCAACAACCAAAAAGTTAAACGATACAAGTGCTTGAATGGTTCTCATCTCTAACTACGGAAATGATTGCACAATATTTATGAAACTTTACAAACCATAAACCAATGCTATCTAAGTTCACTAGACAAAATTATTGATGCGACTTTGATTTCCCATTGACAAAGCAGCAAATAACATGAAAAGGTGAATAAAACCAGTAAAAATAACGAGGGACATGGGTCTGAACTTGTTAGCCCCAAAATTACAGAAAAAATGTAGTATGTTAATTGAAAACTCTACAGGGTTAGTGTTACAAAAGTTGAAAAGCAACCAAGACAGCCGCTGAACACAGTCAGCTTGCCCAGGGTTGTTCAAGCCATCGGTATGCAGTCTTAAGGTAGAGGAGAAGAAACTTCATAGAAAGGCCTAGCAAAGACAATCACCATGTATATTTTGGCGGCGTATTAGGATCTTGACAACTTTCAATAGTAAAACATTCAAAAGAAGAATATGTACCTCCATTGCTGAAGATTCTAGCAAAGCTATCAGGCGCTCCAAAAGCAGCAGAAAAGTTCCAATTTGACTAACAGGAATTAGTACTGATCCACCACCTTTGACACACTCCATAGCACAGGATGATATGAAAACCAGCTTTTCCTTTTCTTCTAAATTTTCATCAGAGTTGAGGAAGCATTCTGCTTGTTCTACAGAGATGCTATTGTGATCACTGTCAAAGTAAATTTAATGACAAATTTTCATCACCTTGACTGCGAGATGACACTTTAATTACAGAAATGCAATACTTGAAATGCCTGGATAAGATTTGGAAACTCAAGAACGAATTGTTAAAACCATACCTGAGAAATAATGAGTCATTAACAGATCGTTTAGAGGAACTATTGTCATCCTCATCTTGTGTGATACTCAAGGATGAGAAATCTGAATAAATTAACATGCGAGTCCCTTGTAGACTATGGAAATCAAAATTCATTGCATGAGCAGAGTTGAAGCTGGAGCTTGAAATATAGCCTACGTCCCCCTTTGGACCCCTTAAAATCCAGTTACAACTACCAAATTCTACACCAGAGCTCAATGCCTTTATAATCAATATGCCATTGTAGCAGGCTTCTTCTGCATATTTAAGTGTCTGAACCTTCAATATGCAATCCTTCACATCTGCCTCACTGAGAAATTTCCAAATTATAGCCAGAATAACTAAAGTTTGCATACTCGTCATCAATGAATAAAGTGAAAATAACCAACAACATTAGGATGAGAGTGTAAGAACCAACATAATAACTACACTAACAAGCAGCATGTATGCGGATAGAATTTGACTACCTATAACAATTGAGCAATACCAAAGGAAAATAACTGAGGGATAAAGAGACGAGAGTTAACTTTCATCTTCCCCCAGATAGAGAGGGAGTGATTTTCGACTCATTTTCAATAACCAAGCTCCGGCTGCTAAGATTCAAATGACAGTTGAGACAGTAACTAACAGTAAGCCAAAAATTGAACAGTATCTAGTTCATACGATAGTCAGTTAAGTCAAACATATTGCCTTCAATGTCACGTATATAATGCATGATAAATGCATCATAAATAACTAAAGGATAGATTAGACTACCTGTATAATGGCATCCAACCACCTAGTTCTTCTCCATCTTTGCCCAAAATTATTTCTCTCAACTCAGAATGAAGCATTTCAAGCCCTTCCTGCCCCATCCATGAAGGGAAGTTAGATTCCTCGGGTCCATAAAACTGCCTTAACTCTGCATGCATTGATACAAGATCCTCCATCATAAGCTGGCCCAATCTTGCTGATACTTCAGTTACATAAATCTACCAAATGTAAATGAGTGACTAAGCAAGCAGAATTTGGTAATAGAGTACAACAAAAATGAGATCATTTAAAAATTAACATTTCAATGTGAATGGAGAACATCAATGTGGGTACCTTTGCTGAAAAACCCTTCATTCGAGTAAGAAAAGGCAATCCCAGTATACCCATAGGTCTTGAGATCAATATAACATCAATGGAACACCAGTTCCAAAGATGTAAATCTTTAACAGACTTGTACCAAGGTTCTGCAAAAATTAAATCATTGGCATCAAGGGGCTTTTCCATTTTGAGCCTCTTGTGAGACCCATCTTCTAAGCCTAGAGAAGAAAAGGCTTGAGAGTTGCTGCTTTCTTTGCAGGGCAATGCTATAAACCCAGTAGGTACAGGAGAGAACACTGTGAGAGCTGAGAGGTCAAGTGGGCAATCCAATAAGATCCTAAGCCCACAAAATTCAGCATATGACATGGCGGGAAGGGGAATCCCCCACCTTTGTTCAAACACGTCTGCAAAAAACTCAGGAAAACACAAAATTCAAATCAAAAGGGAAAATTATGCATAAATATTGTAAACAAAACTTTGCTGAAGCACAAAATACAAACATATGGTGCAAGAAACTCACAAGCTTCATGAAGACTAGGAGGAAAAAAGTTTGTCCTCCAAGCAAATATGGTTGTCAATAATTCACCCACAGGACCAGATACTGTGATAACCCATTTGAGAGAAGCAAGTCACATTCTCAGGTTATAAATTGGACGGAGATTTTAAGCACGTCAATCTCACAGGTAGTATGGCTACACAAGGAAAGAGTATAAGTGGGTCAGCACATTAGGACAAGAGTCGAAAATTTCGAAATAAAACATTAAATGGGAGTTGGAATGGCTTCTGTTTCTCTTTACCATTAAGTTTAAGACATTTTGTCTTCCAACCAGGAAGCAAATGGAAATTACAAAGGGGACCTTCTCTTTGGCTTGATTATGGTGCAGACAGGTTTTTGGATCATGATATGGCAATGCGCATGGAAACAAGGAATTTTATTGAGCAATAAATATATGAGAAAAGATTATGCAAGTGTCTCACTTAATCAAGACCTAAGAAGCACTGATACAAGTATGAATATCAGGTATGATACAGCATGCTATGATGGATACAACAATTTTTAAAATTTTGAATATGGGTACAAGAATATATTTTTTAAAAAAAATTATACATATGTAAATAAATTTGTGTGCGCATAAGTAACAATTCAACCAATAAAAGTGACTTTAACAATTTCATAATGTTATAAATGGTAAGACAAAACAAAATACAAATAAGTGTTACCAAATACATTTCAAAATGTCAATGTCATAGATGAGGATGAATTTAAATTACTCCTCATCTTCAATGATATTACTAGATTCTCCTACAAGCTCTTGCTCAACTCCAAGACCATCAACACCATCAAATGGCTCCAAAGTATTTCCATTGACATCCCACATTCTACTTTGTCCAGTGGAATACTTTTCATTCTTTATTGATAAAAGACGAAGGTTATTATGCACAAATACTAAGTCTTCTGCTCTTTTTGGAGTTATTTTGGTCCTCTTCAATGAATGCATAAAAGAGTAAGTGCTCCAATTTCTTCCACAGCAAGATGACGAGCATGGTTGACCAAGAAGTCTCAATGCAAGTCTTTGAAGAATCGGGGTGAAAGAACCATAATTTAGCCACCACCCTTTAGGATCCAAATTCCACCTATCTTCTAAGGAATCAGGTGATGAATAAAATTCTGAACATAGACAAAACTTCGAATACTCTTGAAGGACCAACTTTCTTTCATCAGGATCATTAAAGTACCTATTAAAGCACTTTACTCTCTCTCTTGATATTTCAGCATCTCTGTGGGGAGGAACTCTATTAGATGCACCATTAATCCATTGAGGTGTATAATACCTACAACATGTGAAAAAAAAATATTAAGATTAAATCTAAAAATATCATGAATGACAAACATTGTAGTATAACTAACCTAGGATTCAATGAATGAGCAAGATAATGAAGAGGCATGCAACCCTTTGTCCAATGGTCAATAATGATCCCATAAACAACTTCATAAAAACTTGAATGCTGAGATAGCAATTTCTTCTCATGCTTATAAATGGATTCCTTCACTTCTTTTATCATTGAGTTCCACATTTCATAAATCAAATGAAGTGTAGGCTTATTTGTATCAACAAACCGAAGCAAGTCATAAATTGGTCTTGTGAAAGAAAGTATGTAATCAATCTTTTCCCACCAAGAGTCATTAAGAACCAAGTCTTTAACTGTAACTGCCTTTTTAACATCATCTTCTTTATAAGTATTCCATGCTTCACTTATAACCATTGTACGAAGACAAGTTTTGATGAGTTTAAGTCTCTTGAACATCCCGATTGTTGAAGCAAATCTAGTTTCAGCCATGGCAAGCAACTTCAATGGCACAAATTCATTAAAAATTGCCAATCTCATAGAATGGCTCATAATAAAAGTTTTAATAAACATTGCATCATCCTCAACCACCTTGATCCAATGACACTCATCATACAGAATTCCATTTTCCTCTGTGTTTTTTGCTGCACATATATTTTTCAATGCAAGAGTAAGTGTATGTACAACACATGGTGTCCAAAAAATGCGGGGATAGTCAGCCTCTATAAGTTTACCTGCAGCTTTGCAAACAGCCGCATTATCAGTAATTATTTGAACAACATTATGAGGCTTGACTCCTTCAATAACTTCACGCATCAATTCAGCCATATAAAATCTATCTTTATGTTCTTTCGACCCATCAATTGCCTTCAAAAACATAGCATCCCCATCAAATACAGCCATAACATTAATTAATGACCTCCTTTGTATATCCGTCCAACCATATGTAACTATGCTTACCCCCTTATTACTCCAAGTCCCTTTGATTGGTTCAAGTAACCTCTCTATGTTAGCCCTTTCTTTTTGCAACAAGGGGCCTAGTAATGCATTATAACTAGGAGGTTTATACCCAGGAATTACATTATTAGCAGCATATTGAAATGAACTAATAAAAAATGGATTGCATGCCAAATGAAGAGACAAACCAGCTGTATAAAACATTCTTGCAATTTCAGCATGTAGATTTTCTCTAGCTCCTTGGTTGAAGGCCCTTTCTAATGGACTTACAGCCCTCCTCTTCCCTGGATTATATTCACTTTGAATAGGGATGTTATCTCTTTGACTTAAAGGAGACAAGCCCACAGTTGGGGGTGGTAATGGCACTTGCTTAGATTTTGTTCTATCATCAGCATCTTTTTGCAATTTTTTCATCTCAGCTAAGCAATAATTATCAACCTTTGAGCATAGAGCAATTCCTTTGCCAGAGATTTTTAACAAGTGCCACTTAACTCTAGAATAAGAGCCATTATATTCACGATTGCAATAATTGCACTTCCAATATCTAGTTTCACCTACAGTTATATTTTCCCCTTTTCTATTCCTATTTACTAAAGTCACATAACCCCACAAAGGAGTTCGATCTTTTTGTAGCTCATTAGGAGAACAGTATCGTGCAGAATTGACACTCCCTGAACTACTAGTTCCAGCCATGTATATCTAAGTAAAAAAGAAAGACAGAAAACATATCAAATAATGCTAAAAGCAAATAGTTGGGTAAAATAATAAAATTGTACAGCACATGCTATCACAATAAAGGAGACAAAGACTACACACAATCCACAATAAAAAAGAAATAAAAAGCCAATATTGTGAATATTGTGCAGATGAGCTCTTTCTTTTCTTCCTTTCCGTTACATAATTATTATAAATAAGAAAAGAATTAGGTATGTTAGGATTTAAATAGGTTTAGATTATTTAAATATATTAAGATGATGATCTATGATTTAAATAGAATTTAGATAGGTTTGATATTTATCATCATCATCATCATGATTATGATTATTATTATTATTATATTAGTAGAATTTGGATAGACTAGGATATATATTCAAATGAGAATAATGACTACAAATAAGAGGCAATAGATTACCTAATTTCAAACTTAGATTTCTAATGAGAATTGCATATTCAGATTTGCTCTTCTATCTCTCTGTTTCCTTTCTCTCTTTTTCCTCTCTTTCTCTCTCTTTTCAATCTAAATTATATAACACTTTCCAATTAGTATAACACGAGCATAAGAGAGAGTGAGAGAAAGAAGCAATCTTAAGTTTTAAAAATAAATAGCCCAATGAATGAATAACAAATCGTAACAGAAAGGGAGAGGGAGAGAAGAGAAAGTAAGACTGAAGGAAGCAAGGAGGTCGCTAGAATAGTGAACAAGGACGCCAAAATAGTTTCTTATAGTGGAAAGGCCGACAACAGAAGTGGAGGCGCGATGCCAAAACATTTTCAGTGGAGAAGACATTTAAGGACCAGGTTAGGATTTTGATTTAGGGTTCAAAGCTTTAAAGAATAAATGACTCAAAATGCAGCATCATGCATCCTCTCGTAACTGTCCATGTCGGAGCTGTGTTGGAAGTACCACGCATATCAGCCAAAAAATATATTGGACGCAGACGCACATGTACAAGACACATCATGCTTCCTTGAATAGCCTAGTAAAATCTCCAATGACAGCAAAGAAGGACAGATTCTGCATATCAGCCATGTCACAACCTAGGTGACTATTATAAAGTAGGAATGAATTTTCAAAAGGATGGAATCATCTAACTGTCTTTTCAACAAGTTAGCTAAGGCAAAACAGAGTGGCAATATAATTTCTTTCGTCCCTAAATAATTTTCAGAAGCAAAGGACAAAAGAATGCAATAGAAACAAGAAAACTACACAACCATTAAAACTGTATTAACAAGTTCCCAACAAAATCAAATGGTAATCTGATCTATTCATGCAAAGTAGCCATGTAAATCATGTCCCTTTAATCCATTAAGTACCAAGAGTGTCACAATGTTGTGGTCCCCATATGTTTCAATATACTGGAGGATGTTGTCTAATTTTTTATCTTTGGCCACAGGAGGATGCTGTCTAATTCATGTCTCTCTAATTCCCCACACATGCTCAGTTTTTACACTGTCCATACCATGAAGGAAAAAAAGGAGCAAGCCTACAAATGTGCTAATAATTAACTAGAGCTCGCCCACGTGTCTCTGCAAACTAGATCACATTACAAGGCAAACAAAGAGTATCAAAGCCGAGGGCCAAGATGAGGGAGAGGGGAATAAAGCCTTTCAAATCGAAGCAACAAATTAATCCAAGGAAATAATAACAAATCCACAAAGCAACCAAGTCCAGAAGCAAGAGGCGGAAGAAAAAGCAAGGGAGGGAGAAGCAAGTTGAAGGAGAACTAGAGAGGGAGTGAGGCTGAGCAACTTATAAATACAGCAAGAGACATAGTATTCGAGCAATGGAAAGGAAAATCCTTAATAGATGTTGGGGGGGGGGGACAGAAAGGGAAAATTCCGGTTGGAAGAGTATTTGTTGTGCAATGGAAATTGGAAAGAAGCTCCGTGCAAGGAACTTAAAAGCACTGGTCACTTCAATGGTCATGGTCAAACCAGGAAACCGGAGTCAGACGATTAAAATGTGTAAAAATATTCTTATTTGACTGTGTAAAAAGAAACATTTAAATAAAAAGGCATTCATCCATCTTGAATGTCTAAGATAACTTTAATCTCCCGGCTAAAATAATTTCAAGTTTCAACACACTAAAAAACACAAACATGAACATTTTGTAGAATCCTAAAGATGAAAAGATCCATGTTCCAACACAAATTGCAGGGAATAAAATCTTCATAGCAGTTAAGAGTCAGCTTATAGACTGAAATTCAACAGCATAATGGAATTATTATTATCGAAACAACAATCGGGCAGAGTAAAATTATTATTATCAAAAAGTAATTTGCAGCAGAAATTATAAGTGAAATATGGGGGAGTGAGTGGGAGGGAGGTGGCAAACTGGAATGGAGTTGAACTCTGAAGGAATCTTGAAGAGCGCGAACAAGTTGAACTCTGAAGATGAAGCTTGAAGCCAACGAACGAGGGACTTGTCCTAGAACGAGAACGACAGTGAAGCTTGAGAATGCCGACGAGGAGACGAGAACGACACCAGCAGCAGCGAAGACGACGTACTTTGGCCTAGAACAACAATAAAGCTTGAAACTTGAAGCCACGGCAAACCCCCACAACGGCGACGGACACGAGAGAGGATTCCGGTGAGGTCCCAATCACGACACAGAAACGAGCAACAGCGAACGGAAGAGTGTGCGGTCAGAAGAGAGGCGTCGAGTTGAGACTCGCAGGGAGAATGAGAAGGATTAGGGTCTGGCAATTTTGTTGGGTTTGGTTATTGGTTCTGTATTTATTTTTTCTAGGTCGCCGTTGTTTTTTTTTTTTTTTGGTTATATTCTCCATTCTCTATTTTTATTAAATCATTATTAAATTAAAGATCATCTTTTATCCTCAACCTGAATAAAAAAATACACAAATAACTTTAAGAGTAAAATTTATAAACTTACTTTTATATACTTAATATATTTATATCCAATCAAATCATAATAAGTGAATCTAAATATGGTAATAAGATTAAGGAAAAATTGATAAAAAGGATCTTACTAAAAGAAAAATTGATCCTAAGGACCAAATGCAATTCAAAAATTAAGACTAATATTTTATTCATTTTACAATATAAACAAATGATAGAAATACTCTTCTCTTTAAACCAATAAAATTTGAAAAAAAAAAAACAAAGACTGCTTGTTCAACACATACACCCCAAGCCAAAAGCCTTGCACCTAAAGCTAGAAGCTTGGTGCAAGCTTCTAAGCTTAGAGTGCAAGGCTTCACAAGGTTTTTGGTTGTGAAAGCGTCTGGTTTAAGGTGCAAGGCTTCTGACAAATCTTCACAAGGCTTTTGACTTGGGTTGCAAAGCTTCTGGCTTGAAGTGCATATATTGAACAAGCAATCGTTGTTTTTTTTCCCTTCAATTTTGTTGGTTTAAAGAGAGGAGTATTTTGGTCATTTGTTCATATTGTTTAATAAATAAAATATTAGCCTTACTCCTTGAATTGCATTTGGTCTTTGAGGCTCATTTTCCTTCTAATAAGGTCCTTTTCACCAAATTTTTCTAAAATTAATATCAAGAATTTATTATAAAATAAATAATATATAAAATATTCACATGTCTTGATTTAATTGGAAGCAAACACATTAAGTATATAAGGTTAATTATATAAGTTTTTCACTAACCTTAAACTCAATTTTGGATCATTTGTAAATTCTCTTTTTCATTACCTTTACATTAAATATGTCAAATTGTTTATTATCAGTAGGTCTTACAATTGTTTAATATTTTTTATTCTCACCTTCTCTCTCTTCTTTCTCCTCCACATTTGCATGTCACATGTCTTCTTCTTTGCCTCGGTCTTCCCTTCATAGTTGAACACCAAAAACCTCACCAGTCTTCGTTGCCAACCACTATTTGATCCATATAGGCTAAGGTTGCCATGAAAAAAACCATATTAACCAATGCGCTCAACATCCTCCAATCGTGTCCTTTGCCTCGGCGCAGCCACATGACCATCCAAACTGAGTGTGTGTGGCCCAATTGTCTCAAATTCTCAGCATGGACCTACAAGCCTCACAACAACAATTCATGGCACTTATTGTAGGTGTCGCCGGATTGACTAGCCGAAACCTTATGCCATCTTAATTCTCTCGACAACCCTTGGAAAGTTTACTGCGTTGCCTTAGACACGCTCGACACTAAAGATACACATGGTTGTTGTGAGGTCGAACACCCTTAAAAACAAAGTCCTACATTTGCTTGTGTTTAACTAAAACCTTTGTTCGAGCTGGGTGAACTCAAGTCATAGTCATTATACAGAGCTATCATTATTAAGTTCGTGGCCACCTTCTTGTTCCTCTATATCACAAGAATGCTAGTCGAGGCATCATCTAAGTTCATGGCTACCTTCATTCTAATGAGTCGACACGAAGAAGAGAGAGGAGAGTAAGAGAGGGAGGGTGAGAGAGAGTAGGAGGGGGAGGGAGAGAAACGAAAAGAGTGAGACAAGAGGAGGCAAATGATCAAGTTGCAAATATCTCTTTTAATGAGAAGGATGACTTCATAGTATGAAATGGCATCACCTAGGAAGGCTATGCTAGGTGCATGATATGCCTGGCTTGAAACCATTTAAGCTAAAGGAAAATGATTCTGAGTTGATTTTGTGGAGCAGTGAGAGGAACAAGAAGATGAAGATGATCAGGGAAGGTTTTAATTTGTTATCTCAATGGCCATGGTTGATTAGTGATGTAGGTATTTTGTACCATGGTTAATATTGTTTGGATGTAAATAATCATTTTTTTTTTGTGTTATCTTCTTTTCTTATGATAGCCCTCTAGCTTGTATGTTTTTTTGCCCTAAATGGTTTTGTTTCTTTGTTCATGTTGCCTGTTAATTGCAATTGCAGAGAGGGAATGAGAGAGAAAGAGAGAGGGAGAGTAGGGAGAGAAAGAGGAGAGAGAGTATTAAAAATGAATTGTGAGACCCACTTAAATATTTTGTAATAAAAAATATTAAAAAATTCAAAGGTGA